TTTGTCACAAATTAGGCTTTATTTAGTATAATTGTAATTTTAAGTTTTTGGTTTTGTTTTTTAAAAATTTAGAAACCCTAATTATATACATTAATTAAATTTGGAATTTTGGGTAATAGTTTTAAAATTTTATACCCAATAATTGCCAACTTTAATTTTTAATTTTGATTTTTTGAATTTCAAAAATCAAAACGGAAAACCAATAATCACAACCATATTAAAAGTAACTTTAATTATTATTTTTTCAAATTTTAAGAGTGATAAATATTTTATTGTACTTTAACTCTATAGTTATCCTTTAACTTTATTTATCTATCCTATCACTAAAATTTTCTATTTATCTTTATTTTTTATTAAAATAATATTAATAAATATATAAATTATCTTTAAATTTTTAATAAATAAAAAAACACAAAATAACAATTATTTTTTAATAAAGAGTATATATTATTTTTATGTGTGAAATCGATCAAAGGATTATTTAATTAATAATTTCCATTACAATTTGAATGTGGTGTGAAATTGGAAGGTCACATGCCGGCATTTGTCTGTTTGATATTCCTTTAATGCATGAAACAAGCAGGACAATGATAAGGAATTTGTAATCTCTTTTTAATAAAAATAAAAAATATCTCATCATTCATCAATCACATAATCTAAAAATAAAGTTATTTGTACAGTTAATCATATATTTAAGGAAAATGACGTGTGCACATTCGGATCTAACACCCGGATGTGCACACCTCCACATAAAACAAAAATGGACCAGGTATTCTCATATTTTTTTTTTGTATGTGGAGGGATGCACACCCGGGTGTTGGATCCGGTTGTGCACCAATCATGATCCAATATTTAAAATTCAATTCTTAATCTTTACACAACAAAAAACATAGCAATAAGAAAATTTGAAAATAAATCACATATTACAGTTAAATGTAGTGTGAAACTTAAAAGTTACATATTGACATGTGTTTGTTACTTCTTTGTATCAAATTCTGTTGCTTTTGATTCTTTCTTCAAAGACAATATTTATTTTTATTTATAATATATTTAAAAAAAGATAAAGAAAGTTTTTTGTGATTGAATGAATAATTAAAGTGAATAAATAATAATATAATTAAAAAATTAAAAATATTTATTTGATTTAAAAAATAAAAAATAATAATTAATTTATAACAAATTCAAAATATAAAAACTAAGAGAGAAAAATATTTCTTAATTCAGAAAACAACTATGCCAACCACATGAGCAACTCATAATTTTTTTTTCTTTTTAAAGGGGTCTGAATTTAAATTGCATATGGATGGTGTAGGTTAAATAATTGCGAAGTGTCGCCTTCCTCAAACTCATGAAACAGCATTACTCTCAGTTGGGTCGTTGACTTTCAATGGAAGCCTGTCAAACGGACCTAGACATCGAGCAACACAACAATTTCTACTCCAGACAGAGGGCGTAGGTATTCCGCTTACTTAGCGAGCACTGTTTGTTACAATGACCACCTAGCAAAATGAGCTTCCTTAGATGGTGGTAATAGTGCTACTGGTAGCTTTTGTTCTTCTTGATCTTTATGGATCCTTAGATTTATGAAGCCTAATCCTTAAGCAAGATTATTGCAAGAACAGCTAAAGAACATTAACGTTCAGAATTCAGATTGCCCAAGACTGGAGCCACTAAATCAGGGGACAGGGTTGACTTCAGGCTCTTTCTATTCAAAGTACTTCAGGTAATAAACAGAACCCATGTTCGTTTTCTTCTTCATTCCTAGATCGTTTTGGGTTTGAGAAGAATGGAACATTGTATTTGTATGGTGTTTGTGACAGGTTCCAAGAGGATGGGACAGGTTGTTTTTGTCCATGGTCTCTGTCGAGATGGGGAAAACAAACCATTGCAAAGACAGGCAAAGCACTGGTGTGCGAAATGGGGTCTGTCAGTTTGTCAGAGATTCTTACAGAACCTATCTGGGTTTTGCAGGATGAGTCTTCAAAAGAGATGGAGGGTTGTCTCTTCAAGCTTCTTGTGGTGGCGGTAAGACAAAAAGCCTTTTGCTTTTGTACTTAGTTAGAATGACCACTATGTGTTTGATGAAAGTACCAAACTAGTTTTTGTAAATTGCAGATTCCAGAAGATCACCTCAATAGGCAGGAGTTCCTAATCAAAAGTTCCAGATATAGGGTTGCTTGCGTTTCTTGCTACTATAAGGGAACTAATGGGGTGTATATTAATCTAAATGAGTGTTGGATCACAGGGAGCGACTAGATATCGTCTTCTTAGAGAGACATTTGTGGACATGACAGGATCTATGAGTTCAAGTGTTGCTGTTTGACTTTCATTTCCATTGAGAGAGGGCAATCATGGGACAACCTTGCAAGTACGTAGTTAAAACCATTTCTTGTCTTTAATCATTTCAAAATCTAACAAAGACCGGGGACATTATTTCGTTTTTAGTCCTAATAGCTAGCTAGAATTTATTTTGGAAGGGATTTATGGTTACTGAGTTGCATTACCAGCTAGCAATCGAAGTTAGGGAAGTAAGGATGTCAATTTAAGTTCACATTGTAAAATTTTACATTGTCATTGTGCATTGGCAATCTCATTAAGATATACAATGAATTGAACTGAATTAGAAATCCTGGTATCCTTTAGTTTGTATATGTGCCTTCTTGCTGGTTCAGCACAAATGAAACTGAAGCAAAACTTGTACAAAATAAAATTTAGGCTGGATGTTTTGTGGGGGCAGAAAGCAGACAGCATGCACCATTTATGTAAATCAAACAAAACCACTTTAGGCTAAATGGAGAACTGATCTTTCTCATTTGCAGGCTAACATTCAGTGCCTGGCACCAGAAGCAAAACTCAGGATTGTGTAATATGGAAAAACGATTTTCACTGATCTTTTGATTCCATTAATGTTTCTACTTCATCATGAGTATTTGGTGTGGACATCTCAGGGATATTTAGTGCAGCGGGAGATATGTCCCTAGGAATGAATGGTAATTATGCAGACTCTAATGATGTGAACATAAACTCAGATAAGCCAGAGAGTATAGCAAGGAGCATTGGATCTTCGTCCCCTAAAAAGATAAGACTCTATGGCACATCAAGGAGAACCTGAGACTAGACAAGTTCCCTTGCGTTTTCTTGAAACTTTGAAGATTACACATCTTTTCTCGTTTCACAATTTATATGTTGTAATTTTAGCATGATCTTGTTGTATGAAATGCATAAGGTGTGTAACACCATTTATACTGTACTTTGTCTTTTGCTTGGATTTATCCTGAAGCAAATATATCTTATTTGGTAAAGCTTAAAAGCACTACTCTCTCACAAATTAATTTTTTCAGAAAGTTTTAAGCAAGTTTTGAAAAAACTACACAACCAAGTTTTTTCAAAACTTGCTTAAATCCCATTTTAAAAGATAATTTTTGAATTTTCCTTTAACAAAATTTCAAATTTATGAGAGATGAATAATATTTTTAAAGCAAGTGTTTTCTAAGTTTTACCAAACACTGTCAAATTTCCATCAACAAAAGAAGCATATTTTCCTCAATGGTTGAAAGACTTTTAACAGCTTTATGCACTTATCCTCTTGCTACTGCCCTGTAGATTGTTATCTGAAGATCAAAACAGCCAGTCAAATTCTCCTAGAAAATCAAGAATTGAAGGTGAAGTTGAAACAAGAGAAGAATATGGACGCACAATGTCATCACTAGAGGAGGAATTAAGAGACATCCGCAAGATTCATCTTGAAATGACCCTCAATTATGCAGAGGTGGAGGGTCAACATGAGGAATTCATCGTGAAGCCTAAAGGAACCAAGAATGGGAGGAGATAAACATGGAAAGCAGGGGTTAGCACTGAAGCATCTTATTCTCCTGAATCAAATATTATTCCTTTCTGCTATTGAAGGTTTCCAAGATAGCCAGATATGCTTTCAAGTGCAGTAAGTTCCTTTTTCTTATTAAGGCTTCAGATTCAATCCCTTTAAAAAACAGAGGAGATGAATTGGAGCTTCATCATCCTAACTACTTTTTGATATTCATAAAGTAAATAAATAAATAACATTATGTGGATAGCTTTTAACATCTGCTACATGACTCAGCAGCAAATAAAGAATGAAATAACCTTCAAAGACGCCATTACGCAAGCAGGAGTGTCAGGTTTCTATCTTTCAGATAACAAAGAAATGGAACTCCACCAAGCGGCCCGATGGCTGTGCGCCTCATTGAGGTCAGTGGGCTGTTCACCAAATTTAGGGATCGAATCCCCAATTGTTAACATCTGACAATACTAACTTACTAACCATTACCCTTATAAAAAAAAAAAGATGACAAAGAAATGATCCTGATGGGGTCACCCAGAACATGAAATCTCACTCAGACTAGAAAATGCTTAAAAACGCAAAGAAAAAGCCTACCTTAGTATTAAATACAAAAGATGACCTATTCTGAGGTAATGCTTTCCTGCAAATAACACTAACTAGATAACAACAATCCTATGAAACTCATAGACCCTATTGATTCCACGTGGCGTGTCGATCCTGTTTGATCAAAATATGATCAAAATTAAGTGACAAAGATTCAGCAGTGTGTCAACTTCTGAGACAAAAGTCTGCACTTATCCCTATTATGTAATATCCCTGTTCTTGATACAGGGTTTTCAAGGAGGAAGGACAGATACAGAAGATGGGAATATAAAATCTGGACAGGTTTTGGGGAAAAAGGATGGAAAACAAGAGGAGTTGTCTGTCATCACGTGTAATGCAAATGCAATGGTATATCCTTTGGAAGATGCTGAAACTAGCAACCTCCAATTTCACTCTACCCACTTTATTTTTTTCCTGCTTTTTATTCCTTTACCAAAAAGTGTCCACAAATACTCATACTTAAGTCACCTCACCCTTTTATTGGCTTCCTGACTATGAAAATAAAAAGAAAAACCAAACAAAAAAACCAGATCTATAAGTGCCCAGACAGGCTTCAATCTCAAACCCTCTTTGCACTACACAAACCACCAGCCCCACCACCACCTCCTTCATCCCTGGTGAAGGAAGTGGGATGGTTCTGGTGGTGTAGAACTTCTTATCTATAGGAGCAATGGAGAATAATATATTGAATGAAGCTGAATAAACTGCCTACTCAATGGCAGTTCCTCCTATAGGGCAACTTCGTCAATCCTTTGGCATTTTCGCTTCCTCGGCTTTTCTTCCTGTTGTTTTGTCAAGCTCAAAGAAATCTCCAGAAGGGAAAATGGTCAGGAAACTTGTTATGTTTTTCCTTGCTTGGTATGTGCTTTGAATAAAGTAAGAGTAACGGTGTTTTTAATTAATATCTGAATGTGATATTCTATACATGTTTGTTGGTTGGCCTTAGGCCATATATAGTTTATGAATTCATAAGTGTTTAGTGATCATGAGCTTGTTTGTAATGACAATGTAAATTTAATGCTGTGAAGAATCACAGGAAGGTCTACCGGAGTTTAAATCATTAATCTTTGAATATATGATATGATTATGAATTTGGGTGCTTTCAATCTTATCCTTTTCCATTTTTTTTTTGAATGATTTTGGTTTGATTTCCCATCAATAAACAAGCACACGTGTTATAATATCTAATATGTCGGAATTTTATATTTAGTATGTCGAATAATGGGTTATAAAACTCTTTCCTAAATTAATATTTATTTATTTGAAAGTTCAAAGTTCAATTGGAGCAGCCATTTGGAGAGTAATTAATCGGAACTAAGAAATGATATGGTATAGGGTTAAAATTATCCTGACAATAATTGCCTAATTACCAATCATACCAAAATTTGAAAAAAAAAAGAAGAGAGACCATAATGAAACTTCCGAAGATGGAAGTATGGAATAAGGAAAAAAAAAAAAAAACGGAAGGTGTTAGCAAAACCTTCCAATTTGTGTAATTTTTTATTGTATGTGAGAAGAATGACAGATGATTACCATGAATTAATTGAGAAATTAGACAAAATAAAGAATGAAAAGGAGAGGAAAGAACAGATCCAGTTAATCCCTCGCATTTTACTTACCAAATATTAAAATACATATACATATAACATGATATATGCGTGAGTCAAGAAATAAGACTAATTTAAATAATTTGCATTAAAAAAAAGACTAATTTAAATAATAATTATATATAATAAAAGATAATTATTTTTACTTCCATTATAACCCCAATCTGATTCTCATTTCTAAAACACAGTACTCTAATTCCAAAAGCGTAGAAATCACCATAAAGCTGTTAAGGTTATTTGAGAAACGAGGTTTTTGGCTTTTTGCACAAGTGAGCAATGTTTGATGAAGGTAATTTCTTCTATTTTTATTAAAATTTTAAAGCAATTTGGGTTACCAATAGCCTCCATTCTTTCCCATGGGACCATGGGAAAAGAGCAAGGCAATCCTAAAGCTTCATTTGGTTGGCTATAATTCCAATTTATAAACTCAAAGTTGTTTGCCAATTGCTATTATTTAAAATTCTTTTTACATCAAAGAAAGAAAGAAAGAAAGAAAAAAAATCTTTGTGCTTAAGATAAAGCGCACCCAAGCCCATTCATCATTCCCCATTGATGACTCCAAAAATGCCTTTTCTTGGCTAATTAATCAAGCAAAACATTTTTTAACCAATCACATTCATGTTTATTTACCTTCTAAATTTAAAATTTAACATGACAATTCCTTTTAGAATTTATAGATACATCTTAGTTAATTCACATGAAATTCATAATAACACATAAGAAAATAATGAGCAAACATATTTCTTAATTTGTTTACTATTAGTTCACTCATGAATAAAAAATCTTTTACTAACTAGTTTGATTGTATAATGTTGATTCTTTAATTTAACACTCAATCACATGGTATTCTGAAAATGAATCAACTTCAATCAAATTCAAAACCAAGGTTTTATAAGACTTCCAATTTAACTAAATTCATTTAAATGAAAGTGAGAAAACTTTTACCATCCGCCTTTCATATTCTATTAGTCAAATTTATAACATAAAAGATGTATCTAGTTTGATATCTCATGCTATTCTTTATATTATAAAATTAGTTTTGTTGAAAAATATTATTCATAACAAATTCTTAGACAACTATGTTGCAAAATCAAATGAGTAAATGTATATTAATTTATATATTTTATTAAAAACAAAAAAATGTCAATAAAACCTATGTTACAATTCTATTTGATTAACTGTTTCAAATTGTCTATGATCAATCAATGCTGTTATTAGTGTTTTAAACAAGATATCCCGTATTAATTATAAACTATTTTAACTAATCATAAATTATTTATAACGATAAACTATGTACCCAAAAAAATTATTTATAACGATATACCAAACAAGGTCATGTTAAATTTTGTTGTAAATAAATGTTTATCATTTTAGTTATTAAAATTTTCTAAAGATAAGTGTTTATTTTTCCTCATAATAATCTTTTAAAAATTCTGTTAATAAAGACTTTACTTAATTTTTCTTTTACATATTCACTTAATTTTTTATTTTAAAAAAATTAAGGCCAAGGCTAGTTAGGGTAATGTTGAAAAGGAATAGGGACAATTATGTCCTCTCACATATTGCTGTCAAAATGTTGAGTCTATTTACGAATCCTACCACTGGCTTCCATATTTTGTCGAAGAGCACTCACCCTCTACAAAAACTGGTCAGTTTCCTTTAACCCAATTCAGATTCCTCTTCGTTACCTCCCCAAATCAAAACCCCCCAAATTGAACCCTAAGGGCTCTGCAATACTGATCTCAAATCTGTTGAATCTAATCGCGCATGGCCGTCATCTAATCCTGTTTGGTACATTCTTTGATTCATAGTTTCTGTAATTTGAAATTTCATTTGTTTTTTGCTTCCTCTGGTTTAGTTTTGATTCATCGTTTTCGTTGTTTGCAGATGTTTGGGTGGATTTGGAGTTAAGGTAGCCATGAAGCGAGACTTGGATTTTGCATTGGGGGCTGAGTCCGAGCTCGCTGGTTCACTTGTTCGGCGTCAGGAGTCGCCGATTCAGTCTCAGTGTCGGAGTTCTAGTTTAGAACAAGTCGATGCGAGTGGTAGCTGTAAGAGAGCTAAAGTTACTTTGGTTAATGGTTACATTGTTTATACTCGAACTAGGAAGTCTAGGATTAATGCATGTGATAGATTTTTGGAGAATTTGGAAAGTAGGAGGTTAAAGGGCTTGGATGAGCGAAGGAATGATGGTTTCGATACTGTAATTGAGGAGAGACCAGTGGTTGAAACTGTAATTGGAGTGGAAAAGAATCTAGTGGCCGGGGATGTAGTTGATGATAGATTAGCTGTTGAAAATCGAGTGAATTTAATAGAGGAGCTATCGCTGGTTGAGATTGTGATTGAAGAGAGCCAGGATTTTGCTGAAAATGCAATTGAAGGGGACCTGGTTGTTGAAACATTTAAAGACAACTCGATTGTTGAAACTTTGGTATTAGAGAGTCAGTTAGTTGAAAATGCAGGTGTAATTGGCTCTGGTTATGATTCACAGATGGTCCTTTCGAAGGGTAAGACAAAATGGATGCCAGTGCAGTCTCTGGCTGACACAGAACCTGCTGAGGAAAATCAGATGCTTAATGGTGGGAGTATTGAGGAGAAGGATGATATCCCCTTGAAGGCTCTTAGATGGTTTTCTCGATCATTGAGGAAACCAGAGGCTGAACCTCAGAAGAGTTTGGCTGGGGCACTTCAACTAGTTGAGAATGAAGTGGGTTCTAATTTGGATGAGGAGGCTGCAGCTGAAGGAAGTGGGTTGGGAACTACAAGAAAGAATCTGGAGTTGAAAATGTCAAAAAAGATTGCCCTTAACAAGTGTCCAATGACAGTTAAGGAGCTCTTCGAGACTGGTATACTTGATGGGGTTACAGTAATTTACATGGGTACAATAAGTAGTAAGGTCGACTCTCTTTATGCCCATTTTCTTTTATTTTAATTTAAAATTTTGCTTGGTCACCATTAATGGATTTAGTGAGTAGCTTAAGGTTAAATATTGGTGTTACATTTCTTTCAGACTGCTGGTCTCCGAGGCATAATTAAAGATGGCGGAATTTTGTGCTCATGTTCCTTGTGCAAGGGACGCAGAGTAAGAGTTATCTTTGCTTTAATGCTGTTTTGAGCACCTAATTATTTCATAAACTGGTTGACATCATGGCTCTTCTTGTTATTTTTGTTGTTTGCTTTTATCTTCATAGGTTATTCCACCTTCCCAATTTGAGATTCATGCTTGTAAACAATACAAACGTGCTGCACAATATATTTGCTTTGAGAATGGAAAGAGCTTGCTTGAGGTGTTGAGGGCATGCAGAAGAAGACCTCTGCATATGTTGGAGTCAACAATTCAAAGCATTATTAGTGCTTTGCCTGAGGAAAAATTTTTCTCCTGTAGGAGATGCAAAGGCGAGCTCTCTTTTCATGTTCTTTATGATGCATTGTGTCAAGTAGATTTCTGTTCATTGTACTGGAATAAATCTTGACTGCTTTGCCATTCACTCATTTATAGGGACTTTCCCCATAATCGATGTTGGTCAAATAGGGCCTCTATGCAATTCTTGTGTGGAGTTAAAGAAAAAATCTCAAGGCATCCCAAATAGTACAACCAAGAGAGGAGCTAGGTATGTTTCTCTAGGAATGACCTTCTAAATCTCTGCAATTCATATCTCTTTTGTTATATGGTTGGATAGTTGGTACTCACAAGGTAGGTTGTGCGAGTCATTTGATTTCTCATATGTTACTTAACAGCCTCTTTTATGTATTTTTCGTTTCAAGATAACAGTCAGCCAGCTAATAATTGCTCAAAAGTATCAAAGAAAAAAAAAAACCTATTTAAAAAAATCTGCTAGTTATATTTACATTAAAAATCCTGCTCGATTCTGTCAGCCAGCTTTATTCAGTTAAGTTCCATTGGGTACCATGTCATTCAGCTTCTGAATGCAGTGACTCTATGTTATTGTTATTGTTGTTATTATTATCAACATCAGAATGGTGTCACATTATCTTTAATTTGGTAGCAGAACTTGCTGCCTCAGTTCCATTAAGATAATCAAATATCTCTTAGAGCTGAGACACTTTTAGTGAACTGATTTGCACATCATTTGCATGGTCTTATTTTAGAATGGTAATGTAACTTACCTGCCTTAGTGCAAACAATTAAAATTAGCTTGAAGTGTTGATGCCCATTTGTAAACATAGATTCTTTTAATTTAAAGAGCTAGTGATTTGGGCCCATTCAGTTCATCTCTCCCCATCAGATGCTTTCTGATGTGTAGCACACTAGCACTTGCTTCATTTTTGGATGAACTGATCAATTTCAGGTATAATTATAAACTTATAGTTGAAGGTGCAGGGACATTGCTAAAGAGATATGAAGTTATACTAAACATCTCTTTTCTTTTATTATTGGGGAGGATACGAAACTAAACTAAGGTATAGGCTTATAACTGAAGGTGCACAGCAGCAGCATAGTTTAAGAGATATTTCTGATTGGGTGGCCCAGATGCCTTATTTTGCACAAGTGGGAACCTGTTTTGTGAATTCTGAATAGTTAAAGAGATAGCTTTTGTTATTTCAGATCACAGGATGCAGTTTTGGTCTCACAGTCTTCAGGAAGTGCTTCAGTGGGTATCTCTTCACAAAATAACTGTTTCAGACCATCAGAACCTGTTTTCATCTCACATTCCTCACCAAGCACTTTAGTGGATGTTACTTCACAAAATAAGAGGCAAAGAAAGAAACCAAGAAAGTAAGCATCTTTAGTAACTTGTTGGTTTCCTTTTTTTTTTAAATGCATATTTCTGCCTTAAGGTTTGGTATTCTTCTGTGCTAGTAACTTACACCTCAATATTGGTTTAAAACAATATGCAATATGATATCTGATGCATGTGTTTGTTGTATATCCTCTGACCGTATTTTCTACTTTTCTTCAGGTATGCTGAGTTGGATGTGGCATCAAAGTCACCCAAATGTGATTCACAGATTAAGACTACATCAAGAGTAAAGGGGAAGTAGGTGGCTTTAGCTTTATGTGTCTTCTTGTTTTGTCTTTTGCTCTGTTATATTTTTGCATTAAGCATTTGCTTTCTATTAATGCCAACTAGACACTACTTGGTACAATGGGACTAGAATGTAGTTTACTTTGTGGGAAGATTCTTGGTATATAAGTTGAGTTTTGGTCTTTGGCCCCAACCTATCCACCAAAGATATCTGTATTGTTGCACTACTCATATGAAATTGGTGTTATGGCGTTCCTCTCTCATCTGGCTTTAGCATACGTCTTTCATTTTTTCTTTTCCCACTTTTTATATGTTTCCATCTGTTTCATTTCAGGCCTAGAAAATCATCATTATTGACAAAGTCCTCCAAAAGTGCCTCAATGAGCATTACCTCACAAGATAAAGTTCAATGGAAGCTCATTAAAAGGTTTGTATCATTTATCATGGTTTGTTGTTGGGAGCAGCGCCTTTTGACTTTAGTTCTGCTTTCCAGTTCTAGAAAGTTTGACTTTAAGACAGGAATATATTTTTAATTAAGGATCTTTTTGTAGCATATGCTATTATTGTCCAGATACTTATGTTCTTTTTATCTGCTTCCATGGGCAATTTTTATCAGGTCACCAAAATCAGCTTTGATATCAAAGTCACTCAAAAGTGCCTTGCCAGATATTTCTTTACTAAATAGAAGTCAATGGAAGATGACAACAAAGTTTGTACTTTGTATCATTTTAACATTTTTATAGCTCAAGTTCTTCTTTCCCTTTTCTGTCACATATGTAATCTCTAATGTTATTTATTTATTTTTTTCCATATAGAGACCAGCGTTTGCATAAGCTGGTATTTGAGGATGGTGGGCTGCCTGACGGAAGTGAAGTAGCATATTTTGCCCGTGGAAAGGTAGTTGACACGAAGGTAATACATTTTTGCAGGTGTTTATATTTTGTTGTTGTGTGAATGTAATTTGGTGTCATCATCAGAGATTGCTTGTGGGTTACAAAAAAGGCTCTGGAATTGTTTGTCAATGCTGCAATTCTGAGGTACCATTTGTTATTGATTGAACTTCATAATGCCTCATTCTCATATAGGATATAATTATGATATTCCTTTTAATGTGCAGGTCAGCCCCTCAACATTTGAAGCTCATGCTGGTTGGGCATCTCGAAGAAAACCGTATGTTTTTTATATCAGCTGGTTTGCAGCTTCCTAAATCACTTTCTCTTTGGTAAATGTCTTGATTTTATGATTGTTTTTGTGTTTTTGACAGCTATGCATACATTTACACATCTAATGGGGTGTCTCTTCATGAATTGGCAATCTCTCTATCAAAAGGTCGCCGCTATTCTGCAAAGGATAATGATGATGCATGCATCATTTGCGCAGATGGTGGAAATCTTTTGCTTTGTGATGGATGCCCTAGGGCCTTCCACAAAGGTGAGTTACAATTTGTTTTTATTTTGAATATAGGTCCAAATTAGTTAAATCTTTACTCCTTTTGTGTATCATGATTCATAAAGTTAAGAATGAGGTTTTTGCTTTCTTTCTTTTGATCATTGAAAATCAAAGGAAAGAGTGATTAGTGGCTGCCTAAGGTCTTGTATTTAATTTTCAGATATGTGCTTCTAAATAAGCTATTAAGATCATATTAATAGACAAACTTAGAGCTCCTCTTTGCATTTCTTAAGAATAACTATCATTTTGAAGATACTTGTCATGGATCTAAATTCTCGAGTTGATTTTGATAAGCAATTTGTTGACTTTTGCAGAATGTGCATCTCTTTCTACAATTCCTCGTGGTCGCTGGTACTGCAACTATTGTCAGAACTTGTTTCTGAGAGAAAAGTTTGATGCATATAATGCTAATGCTCTTGCTGCTGGAAGGGTTGTAGGAGTTGATGCCATAGATCAAATAACCAGGAGATGTATACGCATTGTGAAAAACATTGAAGCTGAACTTAGTGGATGCGTATTATGCAGGTAACAATTACACTTCCCTGTAAAAGTCTCTGCCTTAAGCTGATGGACTTCATCAAGCTTGGAATTTTTCACTTGTAAATTTGAATTTCTTTTTTTTGTCAATGTTACTGTTTTATCTGTAGCTTAAATATTTTGTTTAATACTTTTCTCAGGTGCTCTGATTTTAGCAAATCAGGGTTTGGTCCACGTACAATTATACTTTGTGATCAGGTATTACATTCACTTTTATTGTGACTTTACCCTAGATTTTAGCTCTCTAGTATTTAAACATGGGTTTTAATGTTTATTTATTCTTTAATTTCTATAAATGATGTACTCATCTTTCTTGTTTAATTCTTTTTTCTTTCTTTCCTCTCTTTTTTTGAACCAGTGTGAGAAAGAATATCATATTGGCTGTTTGAGGAGTTATAAAATGGCTGATCTAAAGGTATGTGCATCAATGGTTTGTAGTTATGTTTGCTTAGATTACATTCTATTGTCAACTCTTCTTTTCTGGCAAAAAGGAAAAGAGAAAACTCTCTAAATCCAGTCAGTTCAGAAACTCTATTTCTGGATGAAAATTTTGATGCACTTGTACACCAGGAATTGCCAGAAGGGAAGTGGTTTTGTTGCACAGATTGCAATAGGATCCATACAATATTACAGAAGTTGCTCGATCGTGGAGCTGAAAGGATTCCTGAATTTCTTTTGGATGTTATAAAGAAGAAATATGAGGGAAAAGGTTTAGACACAACTATGGACATTGATGTAAGATGGAGGCTTCTTAGTGGCAAAATAGCTTCTCCTGAAACTAGGCTATTGCTTTCTCAAGCTGTTTCTATCTTCCATGTAAGTACTGTTAATACTCTCTTTTTGATATCCTAATACTTTTAATTGTTCTAAAAAATAGCAATAGATTGCTGTTCTGAGGCGGTCAATCTTTCACCTTGAGGATAGCAAGAATGACCATTAACAGCCTCTTTTTTTATTGTTCTATACATGGGAGATCCTTAAACTGCCCCTATCCCAGAAATTTTCATAATCACCACCATTTTTTTTTAAATCTATTTGAACTTGGCATACTCCAGCACCTCTAACAGTACTGAAAAATTGAATAAATTGGAGCTCTGTGCATTTATCGCCTCATGAACTTTTTTATTTCCTATGCTGCCTTAATTGCGAGGGATCATAATGTTCCAGTGCTGGTATATTTGAAGCCTCTGAAGAATGTGCTAGCAAACTGTTCTTGGCAAATTAATATTATATACCAAGATAGAAAATGATTATGGAAAGTTAAGTTTTTAATTGTAGTAATTCATGAAGCATCTGGCATTAATGACTAGACATTGATAAAGGACAGCTTCTATAAGCCACTCTTTAGGGTTGCTTGATCTGTGAAACAACCTTCCTACCATATATGCAACACAGTGTCCCATCAATCTTAGACATAGTTGTGTTTGGCACATGCAAATCTCACTTCAGAACAGTGATTTGCTATTGTAAATAAATCAAATTGTCAGGACTGATACTTTTTTATTAAGTTTTGCACCATCTACAATGTACCTAAATTTATAATTATGAGAGGAAGGAACATATTTGGAATGTGAGTTCTGTTTTGCTTTATTCAATGGTATTTATCTGGATACTTGTATTTCAGGAATGCTTCAATCCTATAGTTGATGCAACTACTGGACGTGACCTTATTCCATGCATGGTTTATGGGTAAGCAACTAAGGACGAGAAGTTGTCTGATGCATCCTTGTTCTCTCTCTTTTGAACTGCCTCCTTGTTCTCTTTTGTCAATTGTGTAATCTTTATCCAGCTCTTTTTACCTAATAAACTTTTGTGTCTCAGAAGGAATTTAAAGGGCCAGGAGTATGGGGGCATGTACTGTGCAGTACTGACAGTCAAGTAAGATCTCTATGCTCATGCATAAGCTTGAAAAGTTCTCATAAATTAAGTCAGGTTGATGATAATATTCTTTTTTTTGGTTGATTTTGCAGCTCATTGGTTGTTTCAGCTGGAATACTCAGAGTTTTTGGGCAGGAAATTGCAGAACTCCCTCTAGTCGCAACTAGTATTCCTAACCACGGGAAGGTGAGAATCATTTTGCTCCTTTTTGTTGTCTTGAACTTCTCAGATGAGAATCTGGGGTTCTGTAGTCTCCCATATTTTTGCCTTCATTTTGCAACAATTTTTGTGCAGCCTTATCCCTGCTTAGTAGAATTCCAACCATAATTTACTATTGTTGAGATATATGCATGGCTTCTTGATATTTAATTTTGATTGGATCCCTAGAAACCTTGTTCACCATGTTAACAAATTAGGATTTTTGAAATTATGGATTCTTGAAATGACTTGTGTTCCAGGAATGAGTTTCTGATTCAATTGATGTTAATGTTGCTGTAACATTATGACCAAGATCTGTAGGGAAACCAGTGTTGATGAAAAAATGGCATGTAAGAAGAGCACTGCTTGGTGATGCAAAAGTAATAAAATTGTCAATCTGTCACAATTGTTGAAAATCTCTGGTGTCATGGAAATGATTAAACCATGCATGGAGAACTAAGTTCATCCGAGAATCTCTAAATTTCACACTCTTGAGTCAAGAAGATATCATCTTTTGTGAACAATAACAATTCGTAAAGTTCTTTTTCCTATTTCCCTTTTATGTGTAAAAAGCAGTCCAATCTTCAATCTTTTACAGGGCTATTTCCAACTATTGTTCTCCTGTATTGAGAAGCTGCTGGCATTCCTGAATGTAAAAACCCTCGTGCTTCCAGCTGCTGAAGAAGCAGAATCAATATGGACAAATAAGTTTGGCTTCAAGAAATTAGAACCGGACCAGGTTTGTCTAATTTCTCCTAAACATGCCAATGTCTTTCCCAGTGTATTCCCTGTTATACTGAAATCTCCCTCTGCCTCGTGCTTTAGTTCATCAATTATAGGAGAAGCTGCTGCCAGATGGTTAGATTCAAAGGAACATCCATGCTACACAAAGAAGTTCCTGTCTGCCAAATTGCCAGTAGTAGTACCAAGCCTACAGAATCGGGTAACAACGGAGAATAGCAAAGTCATTCTTTTCATTTTTTTTAAAAAAAATTAATTAGTCAGTGTAATCAAGTTCACAAAGTGCATCAATTGTAATTCTGTCACAAGTAGTTTGCTTTATTGTTCTCAAGAAGCAACTACCGTTTTTCCCCCTTTTGAGTTAGTCTGGTTGGACATCACTTGGTGTACATTGGCACGTCCTCATTTTCAAAAATGCAACTTTCAAACAGTAGCCAATTACAAATTGGGTAGAAATTGGAATGGTTTAGATTTAGTTATAAACTGATTTCATAGTGGATTGATTTAATTCCCTTTCGCTTGTGATGTAATATTGCAGTTTTCGATTATCGCTTCTGGCAAATCTCTACACTGATTATTTTGTAGCATTTAGATCCCCCTCGTTATTCATGTTAAATGCAAATGTAGTCCATACACTATACTCTCAGTATAGGAAAAGGATATAATGATAACCGACTGAAAGAACCATATTGCTATGACAGGTCACCTGTGTCAAAATAATTATTCAGAACAAAACATCAACACGAAGTAAGAAGATTTTTTTTCCAACTTAATTTGGGCCTCGGGGATCTTTCATTCTACTTCTGAAATTCCAGGACAGTGTAGAAATAGTCAAAATGGAATGCACGAAAATGTGGGAAACCTGCAGACAGACCTAGCTCGTTGAACTCTTCCTCAGTCCTATGCTTTCCCTTGGCCCTGTAAATCGTCATCACAAAAATGTCTCCTTCCAGAAGAGCACGGGTTCTATGGCTATCATCTGATTCCTTTGGCAATACTGGTCCACACGCAATCAGTTTTCCTCCAGCAGGCAGTGCCTTCCAGCAATTCCTCATTATCAGCTTGCACTCATCATCTGTCCATGTAGTTAACACCCACTGCCAAAATAACACATTTTCTTCATTCCATAAACCTCTTTTCATAAAGATAATTTGATGCATAATCAAAAGTGAAATTACATGCTTACCACTTTGTGGGTTCTGATGAATGAGAAATAGTACCTTTTTATTCACCAAATTCTATATGCAACCTCACTTTTGATATCACATACGGAGTATATAAATTACAGTTTTAAAAATAATTATTAAATATTAAATTTAATTTAACATATTAAATATTTTAAATTATAAATAATAACAACCATTATTAAGTAAATTTTATCAATTTCGTCTCATTAATTCACAAGATCATACCGATACCACAATTTTAATGTGGACTTTTCCTTCTATTGGACCACAAAGTGAAATTTTCGACTCTAAGGCCGAAAAAGGTGACGCACCTTCATGAAGACGGCATCACCTTCAGGAATTGACTTAAACATGTCTCCACCAACATGGGTCACCCCTGCAAACACCGGGGGAGCTAATTCTCATCCAAAACCAACCATTCAATAATTTCATCGTACAAAACGGGATAGAAACCTCACCGAGGATTTCTGGTGCCTTGGCAACTACCTCAGGCAGGTCGAAATTGATCCCTTGACGAATATTGGGATTTTTCTGTAATATCATCCTTAGGCAATCTCCGGCGCTGCCACCCACGTCTACCAGGCGTCCGACCCCATTGAACCCCTCGTAGCCTTCCAGGATTGCCTTCATGAACGGTACGGAGACCCCTGACATTGCCTTCTGCATCAACCCATTCATCTCCGGCTTCTTCCCGTAGTAACTGTACGCCGGCTCTCCGTTCGCCTTCACGAATGGCTCCGATTTTGGGTCCACCACCGCCTCGTGCACCAATGGCCACGCTCTCATTAGCGCCTCCTGTAGAAAGAAAAAAACTCAAATTAAACAAAAAAAAAAAATCAAAATTGGGGAAATTAATTGAAGAAAAGCTGGGATGATCAAACCTGGTGGTGCTGGAGCACGTAGGACGCGTAGGAAAGACCGTCGGCATCAGTGACGAGCGTTTTCCCTATCTCGGTGAGTGAGTATTTTCTCTCGGTGGTGTCTGTATCCAGGTGCTCCGAGAACACATCGTAGCTGGTGAGCATACGTAGAATACGCTGGAGATTCTCGGGATCTCCACCGCCTGAGGGGAAGATTTTCGCGATGATCTGGGGGGCGGAGAGAGGGGTATTGGCCCCACCTTGCCAGATTGCGTCGGGGACGTTGAGGCGGACGATGGCGTTGAGAGACATCGGTACGCTTATCATGTTAGCCAACTCCAAAATGGCCAACCTGGATCGGTTCCGGCCCTCCGTCGTCTCATCCTCCATAGCTCCGCCGCTGCTTCGGTATGCTGTGCCGTGATACAGCAGACTTTCTCGATATGGTGACAGTAAGTATTTTGTCAAATGCCAGTCGGCTCGTGGTCATGGACACACTTTTACAACGGAGTTGAGAAAAATTAAAAAGTTTTAATAATTAAAATATGTGAAGAAATCATTAAAAAAAGTTTAATATTTTTTAAATAATTTAAATAACTTAACAATAATTTTTAAAAATAAAAATAAAAAATATTTAATATTAAAAATATATTTAAATAGTTTTATAAATAACTTTAATTTTTATTAATTTTTTTATAAAAGAGGAAAAAATCTTGTCATGATATTTTGAGGAAACATTAAAAAGGAAAAGACACAATTTCCGTGGAAGATTGCCGCCCACACCATCAGTAAGTCTTAAAAGATGCCAGATATCTAAAAGAATTTTGACAACTACTTGCCTTAACCGCATGGATATGGTTAGGCCATGACAAAATGTTATTTAATAATATTATATAAAATTATAAATTTTTTTTTATAAAAAATTATAAATTTAAAATATTATGTGTTATTAAATTAAAAAAAAAAGTTTCATTAAATAAGTAAATATATATAAAATTATAGGTAAATTTTTAAATAAAAAAATTAATTATATAATGATATGTTACATTATAGAAAATTTTTTTTTTTGTTCAGTGAAAATACACTTCAAACTGACAGGTTACCAGTTGGATCGAAGGGTCAGGTGCGTTACATTATAGAATTATAATATTAAGTGATATTTTAATTATTATATTTTTATAAAATTAAATATATTTAATTAGATAATACATATTTTGAAAGGTCTATTATTCCATCTATAATCAATATTAATTTAGAGGTTAGATACCAATTTTAGTTCCTCAATTTTATTGTTTTACACCGTTTTCATTTCTTATATTTTTTATATACTTTTTTGTTTTTCAATAATGAAAAATGCATTTTTTTAGATATTCTATCAATTAATTTATTAAGTATATTTATATATGCATATTTTTAATTAGTTAACTTTAGAATTTTATATAATTTTCATCCCTCAACTTAAAATTCAAAGACTTAACGGATTAATTGACGAAAAAATTAAAAAAATACATTTTTCATAATTAAAGAATAAAAAAAGTATATAAAAATTAAAAGACAAAATTTATACAAAACTATAAAATTGAGGGATCAAAATTAATATTTTAACCGCACTTGGTGCACTTCCTCCTCCCCTGGACGGGTTTCGAACCCGCTCCATGTCAAAATGGTCAAAAAAAATTAATATTTTAACCTAATTTAAAATGAGCCAGTAGACTATCAATTAGGGTAATATATAACTCTCACATTTTGGAGCAGATAATGGTACTGGACCTACTGGTGGATATTCATAAAAAGAAATGAACACAGGCAGCATATTAAGCTTTTATTTGATATAACAACTAAAATCAAACGATTAAGAAATAGTGAATAGCAAATGGTAAATAGTAGATAATAAGTAATGTATAGTGAATAGTTGATAATGGTAAAGGATAGATCTAACAATTAGCAAATAATAGATAATATATAATGAATAATGAGTAACAGGTAACAGTAACATATAATAAATAGCAGTTTTATTTTTAATAACTATTTATTTATATATTTCATCCGTTCATTTTTAGTAAACTTAGTTTTTTATCTAATAAAATAAAAGTGCAATAATTTATTAATAAAGTTTTATATTTATACTTAAGTAGCACTCAAGAAGACTTTGTCTAATATATATTATAATTATTTTTTAAAATAATGTAAAATATGAGTAAATAGATTAAATAACACCTTAAAAGAAATTATATTATTATATTACTATCAATTTGATTGCTTGTGATTTTGAGATCTCTGTTATCCAGAGTGTATAATCTCCTTGGCGGTTGGGTGTTCTTCACAAACGATTTACAACCATGGTAGAGAGAGAGACAGAGAGACCAAAAAAAAAAAAACTTTAGTCTGCATTGGGCAAAAGGGGATCTGAGGGAAGTATTTTGCTCTGTTTGCCCATCAAACTTGACATAACCCAGTACAGAACACCTGCAGAGAAGAAGCTGAAGAACCAAGCATTCTTGTAAATGACAACAAATGCATCCGAAACCGAAGACACTATTCCAACATTCTGCAAGAACCCTGGGATAACCGGGAAAATTCCGATCACCAGAGCTACCATGGCGGCCAAATTGTACCCTCCTGTGTAGTAGTAAGCTCCAGAGGGACTCAAAGAATACAAGTCCTTGACGCTTAAGTTCATTCTCCGAACCAAATAATAATCTGCCAAAACAATGCCCCCAATTGGACCCAACAATGCAGAGTACCCTATTAGCCAAGTGTACACAAAAGTCTCACTGGATTTCAGCAGCCTCCATGGCTGGAATGCAATGCCAAGCAAGGCAGTGAGCAGAGCTCCTCTCCAGAAAGTGAACTTTGAAGGGCTGAGGTTGACAAGAGCATTCGCCGGGGCAACCACATTGGCGGCTATGTTGGTTGTGATGGTGGCAAGACTAATCCCAACAATGGCTAGAATCCTGGTGGCCAATCCCCCGATTTGGCCGAGGAGTTGTATCGGATTGGAAATCAATTTTCCGAATATTACTTTGGTGGAAGATGTTACCGCCAAGCCAACAAAGGTAAATGCCCCCATGAAGATTGGAAGGCCTGCTTGACCGATGATTTGATCTTTCTGGCTCTTGGCGTAGCGGGTGAAATCAGGAATGTTGAGTGCCAGAGTAGCCCAGAAGCTTATATTGGCCGTCAATGAAGGGAAGAAGAGAGACCAGAACTCCGACCAGGATAGTCTGGAAGTTAAAGAGAGCATGTGGCCTAATCCACCAGCTTTGACATAAGCCCAGATGAGGAGGGATGAAGTTAGGATGATCAGAATCGGAGCAGAGTACTTTTCGAGTTCTTTGATTCCTTCAATTCCTTTCCAAACTATGGCCAATTGGACTACCCAAAAGACGAGAAAGCAAGCAAATTCAAGTGGGGAAGTGCCTAACCACGGTAGGTTTCGGGAAATAGAGGATTCCTTGATGGGATTGGGGAGGAGGAGGAAAATCGCATCACCGCCAATCCAAGTCTCAATTCCGTACCACCCACAGCCGACCAGTGCGCGGAGCAGGGTAGGGACATGGGCACCGCGAATTCCGAATGATGACCTCGCCAGGACCGGAAAGGAGATTCCATATTTCGCACCGGGGTGCCCTGTTAGGACTAAAGGAAGCAGCAGGATTAAGTTAGCGGCAACGACGGTGGCGATTCCTTGCCACCAAGCCATGCCGAGGTCAACAAGACTTCCGGCAAGATAATATGAGGGAACACCCACGACGAGTCCGACCCAAAGACTGGCCATTTCCCACCAGGAAAACGTCCTTCGGTGGATCGTCGTCGGCTTGAGATCATCATTTGTGAGTGTTGGGTCGGGTTCGAACTCATCGAATTTTGACCCAGGATTGAACTGAGTGGAAGCCATTGGGGTTAAATTGGGGTATCTACGGAAGGAAAGGAGATGACTTTGCTCGTGGTTGGCGGTTAATTTGATTGGAAAATGAGTGGATTTTGGATTATGAGGGATTACACAGGAAAGAGAAGGGTTGGGATGGAGATGGTAGCTGATGCATTTTGACACCATTGGAAATATGCTTTTGAGGCTTCCTTGCACAATCTGAATCTTGCGGTATCTGTTGAGTGGGGATAAGGTCCGTCTTTCATGCTAGGTATTGTCTCTATCATGATTCTATTGTGTTCAAGGAATGAGATTCCTTTGTTACTGTCCAATTGAGAGCCTTGACTCGTAATTGTCTAGGATGACACAGCAAGAATCTATTCAGTTAATGTAATTAGAGTCCTTTTGCAATCCTTTAAAAACATTTAGGTAGTTAAGAGTTCTTATGTTAGGGATTTTAAATTTAAATATTAAAATGACAAAAAAAAATTTAAAATGAAAAGATTATTTTTCATATAATTGTTTATCTAATGTATTCTAAAAAATAATGTCTTATTTTGCAGTTTAGATTACATTGCAAATCACCAAATATTGAATGGAAAAGCCCACATCTATTATTAGGATTCTCATCACAGTTAACGTTTTGCAATTCAAAACATTTTTTCAATTTAATTGTGTATTAGTAAATTATGGTGCTCCCTTTTTTCTATTTTAGAGTACAAAATGGAAGTCAAATTTCTTCATCTTGTATTCCATCCACGGTCATATTTTGTAACTCGAAGTTAGTATCCATTATTTTTATTTAACTAATTGAGTTGTTCACCATGCTGCCTGTTGGTAAAAAAACCATGCAATTTGTTTTTGTGAGAAAGATTATGGAAGAGTAGGATGAAATTTCGATTTTGGAATAGAATAAGATTAGCAGAACAACTAGGCTGCTTAGTGAAGACAAAACTGGATTCTTCAAAGGAATAAAGTTAGACTTCACTGGAGAAAAAAAAAATAATGACAGAAGCAAATGGTTGAAAATTAAGATGCAAAAGGTACATAGAAAACATCAATAATCAAAGGGAAGCAAGAACCAAGGCCTAAAACAGAATGCAAGAATTGGGCAACGTTATTGACCTAACAAACCCAAATTAACAAGGCCTTCTTTCAACATAAAGAAATTGGACTCATGTAACTCTATGGGCCTCTGGCCATGCTGAGTTTCGCGCAGTAGCAAATTCAATCCTCGAGCCACAGCCAAGTTATAGCGCACAAAGGAAGCCCATTATTCTTTTTTTGGTTGGGTGAAGGGAGACTGCTATTCTAGTATCTCAAAAAAGAGAGGCCTACCAATATAAAAATAAAAATTATTTTACAGTTTGAGCCCTAAAATATAAACTTTTAAATATGAAACTTTAAATGAGAAATGAACCTTTAATAATATATACATATATATATATATATATTTCAGTCCAATTTGTTAAACATTACTCATAAGAATGGGGGCTCCTAACCTATTTAATGATTTATATGTAGGACAAGGTGGCTTACAGTTGATGGTCAAGGATGAAACAGACAATCCCCTTCACATTGGGGCAATTATGATTTTCTATTTGATATTATATTTTATGAAGTCTCAATTATAAAACCACACTCTATTATTACATTTTCTCTTTTGAATTTGAACATAGGCAATTTGGGATTCTAGTGAAAGATGAACACCTTACAAAGGG